TAGAAAAGCGACCCCTCCTGACAAACCGAACGAATCAAAAAATATATATTTTGTACTCAATAACTTTATCACAGCTACATTTAAAAAGAGCATTAGGAATTTACAGCCCTCAGTATTTACCCGAATAGGAGAAATGCATTCAGACTACTTTCAAGCTTCTGTCCCACCCTATTCCATATTCAATGCGAAACAAAAGGCTAAAAGAATATTCCAAAATAGAAAAGCGGACCCACTTGACAAACCCAACGAATCAAAAAAAGAAAATAAATATGTATTGTTGTACCCACTAACTTTATGACAGCTACAATTTAAAAGAATTTATCTAAATTCAACATAAAATTTGCCACAACCACATCTAAAAACAATAAAAGACTTAATGCAAAGCAAAACAATTAACTAACAGTTGAAGAAGGGGTTTACTTTATTACCTGTAATGAATGCCACAAAGAATCCATCGGAGAAACCTCAATAAATTTAAATAATAGATATGAACGCAAAAGGGATATTTTACAAAAGAACACATTAAACGCATTAATTGCTGACCGTAACGAGACTGACCAAAATTTAGATATAAAAATCTTATTCTAATTATTTCAATGAGACGAAAATGTTTATAAGGTGATTTAATCGCTACCTTTGCGTTTAGGTTCTTATAACATTTAACCATTCTTGGGAGATATTCGATTATCACAATGTTCGAGAGATAATAAACAAAACTGATGGAACCAAAACCAGAAAGAAAAAAATTCTAACTGGAATCGGATAGACTATATAGGTAAAAGAAACATGAATGTATTTTTTTTTGTTTTTTTTTTTTTAAATTAAAAATTCCCAGAGTATCTTGTTCGGGCGCACGTGTAGTCGTATCAATGTAAACAAACTTAGTCTGATGGAATCCGAAAAGAAGGAACCGCTTTACACCAAATCTTTTTCCACTTTGTCATATATCTTCCCCCCAAATTGTTCTAGATATATACAAATTTATATATCGTAATCCTATATATATATATATATATATATATATATATATATATATATGAAGAAATTTAGTCTTAAGATGTGCTATATTTATAGGATAAAGTGCTGAATATCAGAGACAGAGCATGTGTAAATATAAAAGTGAGCATTGAAGTCAACACTTAGAGGCGACAGTCTGTTTCATGCTAGATGCAATCGTCAGGCCTCCTGACGATTGCATCTAGCATGAAACAGACTGTCGCCTCTAACTGTTGACTTCTATGTTCAATATATATATATATATATATATATATATATATATATATATATATATATATAAATAAAAAAAGAAAGAACAGTAAAATATATAATCCGGTGTTCTTATAGATATTTTTATTTTTACAAAATAGGGCTCAATGTAAATTGACAGAGCATTAATATTATAAATTAATTGATTTAAAATATGTTTTTTTCGCTACACAGTTCTAACCATGTTTCAAAATGGAAGCTAAAAGCCCCGAATTTAATTTTGTAATTAAATTAAAGACATTAGTTCCATTTTATCCTCAAGCGAATAATATATATATATATATATATATATATATATATATATATAAATAATAAACAATAAAAGATACTAAAAAATTAAAAACTTCAGGCACACTGGGTTGGAACTTAATATTCCTTCGTTTTTTTTTTGGGGGGGGGGGTAATTTAGATTTCTCGTCTAGTTTCGGCCAACATGGCCATCATCCGGAGAAAAAAATGTTCTGCTTGCTTGTAGCAGTGAACTTCAGAAATGAATGTCTTGATGGAGAAAATGAACTTTTGTTTGTAGTTTTCACTTTTTTTTTTTTTTTTAACATGAATCTTTTAACATTCCTTGTGTTAATCAAACAGTCTCTTTTAAGTTGCTATTTGAGATAAGAGCTGGATAGATCCATGCTGCTCGACGTTTGTAACAGTAAATAAATATATATATAATAAATAATGATCATAGATAGATAGATTATATGGATATATAATATATAACATTTATAGCAATAAAACACTGTATATCTATATCTCTCTATATATTAATAAATATACATAGTTTTTTAAATATTTTTATAGCTTATATTCCATCAACCACTATTTTATTAATACTAGCAGTCAATTTTCAATAGTATATATTCATATCTATCTAGATGGATATATACATATATATATATACATATGTAAAAATTCAGATATAACAAAGAATATACCTGGAAAAAGAGCAAAGGAAAACGCGTCGGCTAAGAAAGATTTTCCTTTTGTTTTATTGATATACATACATACACACACACACACACACACAGATATATATATATATATATATATATATATATATATATATATATATATATTAGTTGATTTGAAATAGTTGATTAAATTTTTCCGCTACACAGTTCTAACCATGTTTCAAAAAATGTGAAGCGGAAAAAAAACATATATGGTAATCTCATTGTTACTGTAAATGTTATTGTAGTGGTACAATTAAATTAATACCAATCCGCCTAGA